ACTGGCTGCTCGACGGGGAGTGCGCTGTCGGCGTCCCCTCTGGACGGGAAAACCCCAGCCCCCTTTAAAACATTATTTTGCTGCTAATGGTTTGGCAGCACCAGGAGAGAGAAAAAACAGAAGGTGCCTTTGCCGGTCCTGCTGGCCACGGGAGGAGAGGCAGGAGCCGACCTGCTGGCAGAGACATCTGCCCACGGGTGTTTCTTCCCTCTGCCCTGAGCAGCAGCACGTGCGTGTCCAGCCGAGCCCTTGGCACGCGTCGGGGAAAGGGAAAGGCAGGGAAAGGAGATGGGTGTTTCATAAAGCGGAGCCGACGAGCAGAGCGGGGCTGGAGGCGAGCCAAGAAAAACCTCTTACCGCCTCCGTATGTGTGCGAAGGAGCTACTCATCCCAAGCCTGAAAGCCACCTGAGAAGACGCTGAGAGCAAACCGGCAAGGCGGGCGGTGAGAGGAGCAGCAGAGGCTCGCCAGGACCTCCTGCAGCCCTCGGCAGTGAAGCTGCCCAGTGGGGCATTGCTGCTGGTGGCCTGCGGGCTGGCAAGTGCCGATGGCAGCTCTAGAAATGGCTTTGGGGCTCGGGGGGGGGGTGGGGCAGGGCTCGGCGTTTTTTCTGCGTTGTTGGGCACAGGCAAGTGTGACATATGGGGACGAGCGGCCGTGGCTGTTGTAGGGGGAGAAACCCTCCCTTGCCAATCTGCTGAAGCTCTTTGAAGGAGTCGGTGAATACGTAGATAAGACTGAGCCAGTTGATTTATAACAGGCTTGGGCTTTCGGAGAGCTCTCAGGCTCCTGATAGGGAAAATACAAAATAGATTACAACTAAAATAAGTCTGCGGTTTAATGCCGTGGGCTGGAGGGCTGGTGGAGCCCAGCTTCTTCCCCACGTGGCCCTGGGTGGTCCCAGAGGAGGGGTGGCTTGTGCTGGGGCTTGGGGTCCGGCCGAGCTCTTCTCACCCCCACGGGCACCGGGGATCCGGCAGCGTTGGCACCGGAGGTCTGGCAGCGTCACCCCCCTGGGCTCACAGGGGGGATGTCAGAGACCTCGAGCCCTGTAGGTTCAGGCTGCCGTGAAGATGCCTGTGAATCCCCGCTATTAAAATTTCATTATTCTTACCATAACGCCACTTAATTCATCTGGGAACGTGGCGATTAACAAATATTACAGCAACAAGCGCTGCGTAAACAAGTACATATTTCGTTGTATTAAAACTCTGGTGTTTCAACACATTCGCGGGGGTTTGCATCCACACGCTCAGATCTGGCTTCTTGCAGCTCAGGATGTTGATTTATTGTGGTGTGACCCCCAGCAGCCCGGCCTGGGGACCAGCTCCCGTTTCGTCGCAGCTTTGCGTCTGGAGGTCCCGCCGAGGGTGCCGAAAGGGGAAAGCAATTCCGGCCGTGGGCTGGTAACGAGGATTTCAGGAATCTCCTGCTGACCTCCGCTTATACCAAGATGTTTGAGGGACGGGCTGCCCCCGAAGCTAAAACCTGAATGCAGGCAGCAGCGATGCTGGCAGCCCTGCGCTGTCACGTTCTTCCTCCTAATTTTGGGGGAATTCGTCTGCCTGGGGACGCGAGCGGTGGCTGCAGTCAGAGCCCCACTCCAGCGGTACTGTTACAAGGAGCGTATTTATTTCAAGTGATCCATTTGATAACATAAATAACAAATCGACTTTACTTGGTAAGACAGACTAAATGTATTCTTTCTCATAATGGCCGATACATTCCCTGTGCCAATGTCCTGACAAGCTCTCGGCTAATAATACTCTGCTTGGGAAAAGCCTGGGAGGTCTTAGAGGGTTTTACGTATGTAAAAAAAGGTTAAAAAATGAAAAAAGGGTGTTGTCAGCAGAGAAAATTGGAGAGGGGACCGGCTCGGAGTCACCTCTGGTTGCAGTCCGGCGGCAGGAGTGGATGCTCCCACCCGCTTGCTGGCTTTTCTGAACAAAAGGTACTGCCCGGTACCTTCGGAGGACGGCGGTTTCAGAGAGCTGGGTGATGGCTATACAAACCATTTTATTGCAGTATCCTTTGTGTCCTCCATGTAAACCAGCACTCATCTGTGCACAGCGTTTTGTTTCCTTCAAGTTTTTCTTTGCAATTCCAGCATTTATCCCCGTTTTGTGGTTGCCTGCGCCCTTTTACTTGCCCCCAGCCCCTGTGCAGGGACGCCGGCCCTGCACCAGATGTGACTTTGCAGGAAAACATGAGCCCACGGCGACCCGTGTGTTGTATTTCGGGAGTCGGTGCTGTAGGAGCTATTTTTTATTGTAGCCATATGGTGGATGCCTGCCTTTCACACCGCTTGTGCTATAGCGAGGAGCCGCCGTGGTTTTGCAGCTCCGGGGCTGCGGGGCGGGTGGTTTTGGCTCCGTCACTGCTGCTTTCCTGCCTCTCGTGACAGCCCCTTTCTGTTGCGGCGCCTGCACAGGTTTCCCTCGGACGCTGGGGCAAGCCAAGGCGCTGGACGAGATCTGCGAGCTGGACCTGGTGATCAGCTTGAACATACCCTTCGAGACGCTGAAGGACCGCCTGAGCGCCCGCTGGGTCCACCCGGCCAGCGGGAGGGTGTACAACATGGACTTCAACCCCCCCCACGTCCAGGTAAGAGCCGGCAGCATCGCGGCGCTGGCGGCTGGGAGCGATTCGCAGAAGGAAAAGATCAGAGAAGCTTTTCTCTGCATGAGCTGAGACTGTAAAAAAGCATCGGGGATGAAATCCCAGGTAGTAAGCACTGAGCATCGGAGGGCTTTGCCCTCAGGAGCCAGCCTGAAGGAGTCGTGCTAAATGTTAATTAGGAAAATGGGATTGATGTGAAATGCCGTCCGAGGATGCTCGATCGATGCGGAGCAGGCCGAGGCATTTGGCAGTGGTTGCGTGGCAGGGAGCTGCAGCGTGGGCGATCCCCTTGACGGTCTTTGCCTTCCCGCAGGGCGTCGATGACCTGACGGGCGAGCCGCTGGTCCAGCGCGAGGACGACAAACCCGAGGCCGTTGCTGCCAGGCTCAGAAAATACAAAGATGCTGCAAAGCCAGTAATAGAGTTGTACAAGTGAGTTGGAGCATGCGAATAAATGATGGCGTGTCCGTAAAAACAGCCATGAGTGCTGTTCCCACCAGGCAGTCCCACACCCCCATCCCGACAGCCCAAGGAGCCCCGGCACGGCCCCCGACAGATTTTGGGGGACAGATCACTGCACTCAGCGGCACAAAGCCCAGCCCTTCATTGCAGCCAAGCTCTGGCCCTGTTTGGAGGGAGGAGGCTGAGGTAAAGAAATTCACAGCTCCCGTTTGTCTTGCTGGGCTCCACAAAGGGCTTTGCCGGTGCTGGCAATGGGAGGGATTTTTTGGCTGCGGCAGAAGGCACTTGCAAATCCCTTCTGCCCCCCAGCTCCGCTGCATGGGGTGGGAAGCCGATGTGCTTTGCAGAGGCGCTGCCCATCAGCGCTACGAAACCCAAGCAGTTAAGAATTTTAGCTTCCTTTTGGGTGCGTGTCCTCCAGCACAAGAGACGGAGAAGCTCTGAGATGCCTCAGACCCTACCCTGCCCACGCAGAGCCGTCGCTGAGCGAGCCAAGGGTCTGCGGGCGGGTGGGGACGGTGATCATAGAATCATAGAATCATCATTAAGGTTAGGTTGGAAAAGACCTCAAAGATCATCGAGCCCAACCGTCAACCCAACACCACCATGCCCACTAAACCATGTCCATAAGCGCCTCATCTACACGTCTTTTAAATACTTCCAGGGATGGTGACTCCACCACTGCCCTGGGCAGCCTGTTCCAAGGCCTGACCACTCTTTCAGCAAAGAAATTTTTCCTAATGATGTTGCAGAGAGCAGCTCCGCTTCTGCACGCACCCGCAAGCTGCTTTCTACCCTGCTTCAAACAAACCCGTTTGCTGTGCAGATCCAGGCCGGTCCATGCTGTGCGGTCACCCTGCAAAAAAACAGTCCAGGGCCCCGAGGCGTTTAGGTGAAGTACAGGGCGAGACCCCGGGGCTGGCTCGGATGGGTCTGCCGTGAGCACAGATGTCTTTCGGGGTTGTCCCTTCTGCACTGCTGGTATTTTGGGGCAGTTGTCCCCTGGCTGAGTTGGGAATAGATGGAAAGGGAGCGAGCGCCCGGGAGCGTTTTTAAAAGCAGAAGTGGTCCATAGGGTGCCAAAAGCACCCTTGCAGGGGAAGGGGGAGAATTGGGGCCCTGAATTTCCCACTGGTTTAAGCACACGAATAAATCCTGCTGATTTATGTCTATAAAGCACTTCAGAGAACGAGTGGTCTTGAGGGGGACGAGGGTGAGCTCTCCTCTTGGGTAATGTGATTATTCGTGGTTATCTGGGTTTGGCTCACCCACGTGCGAGTGCAGCTGGGCTCCTCCCAGCGAACGCTGCGGACGGGAGCAGCCGCTGCTCGTCCCCTTTATCCCCCTCCTCATGCCCAAAAAGCCATCGGTGAGCTTCCAGCCTGGCCTGACTGCAAATACCCCTGGTACTGACTTTTCCCTCCATCTCCCTTCCAGGAGCAGGGGCATCCTTCACTCCTTCTCGGGGACAGAGACCAACAAGATCTGGCCGTACGTGTACACCCTGCTTTCCAGCAAGATCCCACCCGTTCTTTCGGACGAGGAGAACTAAACAGCTTGTGCCAAGGACCAAGAGTTAACGCCATCACGGATTTGGTTTCTCTGCGCGGTGCTGGGGCTGTGCTCAAATTAGGCGATCGTGCGGTATCTAAAGTCCCTTCCCTGGGGGTACTGGGTGACATCGGTGGATACACGGTTATAGCCAGTATCAGGGCGAAAAGATCTTTGCTTATAAGGTCGAGTCTGCTAGAATAAGGGTTTTTTTCTCTTTTGAGGCTATAAAGTATTCCTGCCTACGGTCCAAGTACGCACGCAGATCAGTGATGCAAACCTGGGTAATGATCATGCCAGGTTTACACAGCTTGCCATGATGTCCCTGCCACCCCCATACCAACCCCGTTCTCTGGTTGAGCCTACAATGTGCCATCCCGTCGCTCCACAGTACCGTTTACTGCAGATTACTCTCTAGGTTGGGGCGGTTTTTTTAGAAATTATTTTTTATTACATTTATTTCTCAGAGAAATAAAGCTCTAAAACGCAAGACTTAGCCCAGTGGGAATTGGTGAGCAACATGGAAGACATTTACACTACGAAGCTCAGAAATGTGAAGATCACGCTTCCAGTATTAATACATATAAAAGAGGGAAAACGTTGGAGGTAAAACACGCACTTGTGCTTCTTCCATAGAGAGAGATGAAACCCCCGTTACAAAAAGCTGCTGTACAGTCTAGTTTTCATGAGATGCTGTGACACTGAGCAGGATCTGCGCTGGGGATGAGTTGCACTCCTTTGTGCTTACCTTGTTTATAGCTTCTAATACTCCGAGATACGGTCATGTTACAAGAGTTTCTCCCAAAGATTTATTTCAATGCGTGCATCGGTTTTGGGGCGAAATCAAGTCATTCCATCTTCTGTGCTGCCTTTGTCCCTGAGGTCCCCTGGAGATGAGGTGTTCCCTAAGCGGTACCCGCTACGGCTGCAGCATCTCCGGCAGAAGCGGCTCCCCCCCCAACCCGGAGGGGTGAGAGCCTTCCCTTCCCCGGGACGCGTGCCGGGGCTGCCGAGGGCCATGCCCAGGCATTTCCCCAAGATTTACAGCGTCATCTGAGCGTGTCGCTCCTCTTCTCGCGCGCAGGAGCTTTGCGGCCAGGTGGAGTGGCTTTTCTCAACTGGAAGTACTGTAACCCTCTTTGGTGGTAGGATGCAGTACCTAAGCAATGGGGATGTTCTTTTTGTCTCCTCGAGTTGCCTTATTTTATAGAATATATATTTAAGAAAAAAGCAAGATGTGTATTTTTAAAGGTTTAAAGAAAAAAAAAAGCTGAATTTTAGCATCGACTTTTGGGAACTCTGCACGAAGCTGCTTGCATTTGCAGAGCGTGCTGCAGTCTGCCATGGGTGGCTCAGTAGGGAGGCAGAAAAGCTGTCACTCCCCTACACCCGTTTGATTAATTAGAGCAGCCTGGGCAAGTTTCTGTTGCTGAAATGTCACTGTTTTTATTTTTGCTTGGAGAGTGGCCCTGCGGCAGGGGAGGGAAAGCTGACTGGCTTTTTTAGGGATGCACGGGCTCCGTGTGCGAAAATTCAGCACATCCTGGGAGTCTTTTATCCCGGCTGAGCCACCCGCGTCCTCGTGCTACCAGAGGAGCCCCTGATGTTTGCTTTCTCTCCGTCGGAGGCAGCTTTGCCCCGATGCTCTCCTGATAACGGAGCCAGAAGCTGTCGGGCATCTGCCGAGCGAGATCTCTGCCCAGGTGCTGCCCGCTCCTCGCCTGCGTGCCGGTGCAAGCGATGATGCATCCCTCTCTGGATGGGAATTTCCCGGGTGGGACCATCGGGTTTCACTGCTGTCCCTGGGGGCCTTCCCATCCCCCCCGAAGCTCCCGGGCTGGGAGGACGCAAATCTCCCACCCTGCAACGAAATCCTATTTAAGAAAGATTTTAGATTTTCCCATGACCCTCGGATGAAGGTCTGGGCCGTTCTTAAACACAAATCTAGAAATAGCCAAAATGTCTGTGATATTTTCTTTCTAGCAGTGTTGGGCAGGAGGGGAGGAGATGATGGAGGGGGTTTTTTAGGCTATAAAAGCAGCCTGGCCGCGGCGGGCGGCTCTGCCAGGGCCGAGTGCCGGGCAGGGGGGCTGCTCCCGGCTTTTCCTTGCCTAGCTCTTGTGTCTCAGCCTTCCCTACTGCAAAATGCCTCTTGCAGAGAGGCTTGCCCCATGCAGCGCCCAGCGGCAGGACAGGGCTTGCAGATGTCTTGGCCCCAGGAGAGCCGCCGAGCGCTTGTTTTAAAGGCTTTGAGCCTTATAGATGTAGAAATCCCGTGCCTGTGCATGCTTCGAGCCCTCGGGATAGATTTTTCTACAAAACTTGTCGTACGGTGCATTTTCATAGACCAAAATACCGGCAGGGGTGAGGTCCCGGAGCGACACGTGTCCTTCGCCTTTCCTCCCCGCCGCGCTCCCCTTTGGTACTTTACTGTGAATCTCATGCCTTTTCTAAAGCGACAGCAATTTTGTACCGACCCAAGATACTGTGGGGGGGCGGAGGGGCTCCCCACGCGCGGGGCACCGCTGGCATGTCACGCCGAGTTTTCTCCCTGGAGTTTCTTCCCGGTGAATCGCTGCAGCTGTGTTACTGCTCGAAAGATGTAAATAAAATTTTTCTCCTGCTTATCCCTGTGCTGGCAGTGTCCGCGTGTGAGTTTACCCCCATCTCCGCTGAAAGCCGGGCTCTCCGCGAGCCCTTGCCCCACGCCAAGGCTGCGGGATGTTCCGCAGAGAGCAGGTCATTTTTGACCTGGGGTTTCTTTGTAGGAGTTGAGGAGGAGGAGGAGGGAAGAAAAGGAGTCCCCAGTTGAGCATGGGAGAAAATCCCTCAGTAATGGGGGTCCCCCAGGTTTTGGGCTTGGGCACAATACTGCTGTTTGGGTCCTGTCTTACAGCCAACTCCTTTACAATCCAAAATATTGGTTAAAAAGCCAGTCCTGACAGTGTGGATGAAGCCAGTTGCTCCTGCCTCCCCATCCTTGTTGCATGTAAAGTGGTTTTTATTTTCCTATTTAACTTGCCCCAATAAAAGCAATGGAGAGTGTTAGGCACAGCAAGGCTCTGGCTATTGCCTGTGCCCCGTGTAATCCGTTACGTGCATTTTGGTAGAAGGAATTAAAAGCCATAAGCTGAAGTGCCTCCGCCCATCACTACCGGCTTGCAGATCCAATAATTTTTTGCTTTTTTCTTTAATTCCCAAATAGCAGCTTCGGGGCTCTCGGTCCCCTATTTGGCATAAGCAAAGACTCTGAAATGATTAGGGAGAATTTAAAAAAAGGGTGAATAAGCAGCGAAACCGCTGCTGGGAGGTGAGAAAGCAGAGGCACGGCTGCGGGTTGGCCTCGGCACCTGCGGGCGAAGGAGGCGAACCCGGCGGGAGGGGTGTGGGTGATGCTGGGGTTCAGGGTCCCGGGAATCTGGAGGCAGAGAAGGGATGTATGGCCTCCGTGCAGCTCCGTCTGAGAGTGCAAGGGCAGATAAATACCAGGAGGAAAAACAGCTACGTAAACTAGAAAATGAATTCAGTCTAAAAACAAAAGTTAAGAGTTTGGAGGTCAAAAAGCAAAGGAATATGAGAGAAGAGCCAAAATCAAGCTGAGCCCAAAGCCTTGGCTTTCCCCGAGCGCTGTCGAGGGGCTGGGGTGGCACGGGGGTCGGCGTCCCCGTCCCTACGGCCTGACCCACAGCACACGCTGGGGTGCCTCCGGCCGCCCCAAACCGGGGGGCTTCTCCCCAGCTGCAGGGGACACGCACCCAAACCCGCCACGGCCGGGGACACAAAGCACCCCGGCACCCGCAAAGCAGCGTGTCCCTGAATTTCAGAACAACGCTGAAAGCGTTAAAATTCCCCCCTTTCTCTTACATTTGTGTATATTGTGCAGGAACGATCCCTTCATGTAAGGTTTGCAGTATATTATTTTTCAGTCGCTTTCTGCGCTCCACGCTGCTTATTTACAGCCCAGTTATTTTAACTTGTCCTTTCGCGTATCTGTGAAAGTGCCTTGCGCTCCTCTGTCGTTTCCCCGTCAGTCATTACTGCTCTGCTTCCCCTGGGCATCCTGCGGAGAGATTAAAGCTTCTGGGATGCTCCGATACGGTGGGATAGGGGATACCCAAGGAAGATAACTGGAATTACTGATGCCCGCTTGGAAGAAATGACACTGATAGCTGGTAACGCCATTGCCTCTCTAGTTCTGCTGTGATAAAGATTTGGGGGCAATTAATAGCGTGTTAATAGCATCAGCTAGCGCTAGCCAGGGGTACCCAGGGAAGTGCCCCCGGTGTGCCTCGACCAGCACGCTGCCCCGTTCCCAGCTCTGCAAAGCTTTGACGTGACGCATCCCCGCTGCTTTAACCTTCTCCAAAAAGGGGGAAGAAAAGAAAAAAAAAAAGATTGCTTAGGTTTGCACTTGATGGATCCGACCTGCAGACTCCAGATCCCACTCCATGCCACATTTTAGAAGATGTGATATGTCTGCCTCCATCCTCATCCTTTCCTGAGTCTCTGTAATCCCAAATATAACCCGGCAGGGCCCGGAGCGTCGCGCAGTTCCCAGGCAGCAGCGTCCCAGCCCATGGCCGTCACCCCGTGACCCGGGACTGCCGCCGAATGACGAGCCGAAAGCCGGCGTGCGGGAGCGTAGCCGGGCTCCCCGCCGCTCTGCCGCAGGAGCCGGGAGAGGAGGATGCCCGTATCTGAAAAGCAAGGTAAGGAAAGCTGAGCCGTGAGCGGGGTGCGACGGAAGGAGAGCGAGACGGTGCGCGATCAAATAGGGGATGTTGTTTACGGCAAATTTGTGCTGAGTAATCATTGGGAAGGCACGCTCGGATCCTGCAGCTCGGGATAAAGCAAAAAATCCTGCTTTAAAGCCCTGTTATATAATGGGTTTGAGGGAAGGTATTGCGCTGAAAACTGCTGCTCTTGGCAGCGCAGCACGTATTGCTCTCTGATGGCAAGTTAAGGTGCTGAAATTCGGCAATGTAGAGCTGGGCACGTAGC